GTTTTTTTCATTGGTGAATTGTGTGGGTTTCTTCTTAACTGATGGTAATATATTTTTTGAATTTTAGCAGTCAGCTATTGGACTCATTTCTAGTTTAATAGTAACACCATTCAGCCTAAATTGCTTTGTGATTTTACACTGCATGGATGTGAGTTTAAAGCCATACGGTAAATTGATTTCCATGTGATAATTTAAAGTGATCCCTGCAAAATTTGCTCAATTTATTTATGAGTGAAACGATATTTATTATAAGTTTCTTTGATATTGATAAAGTATTATTGCATGTGACAATGAATCACATGCATATTATACCTAGAAAATGTTACTATGTTTACAAAACTTCAAATTTTTTTTTTTTGTTCTTTTCCTATTTTGGTAAAATATAATGTGTATTTGAACTTGGTTTCTACTTATAGGCTATTGGAAATTCTCCTTCGGGCCCTGAAGATGCCCCTGCTGAGTGTCCAGTTACTAGTGATGAAGATTCCTTTGAAGATGATGTGTGGGATACTGATGACTCTAATGATAAGGTAATATTCTTGTTGCTCATCTTGATTAAGAGGGGAAATGTATCATAGGGCATATTTTCTTAACTGTGGAAGCGGAGAGAGAGCAGGCGGGACTCATGCTTTTTTGTTTATTTACACTCAACTTGCTAGTTAATCTTTTATTTTCTATTGGTATGGTTCTTCCTTAAAAAATTGCGGAGAGAGAGCATTTTTTAGATCGTTTTGTTAAGCAAGCACTGGCTCTGATTATAATATAATGCTTTGTTGTGTGCAGTGCTTCTGATATATTTTTAGGTCATGAAATATATTTTATAAAATTTTATATGCTCAAATTCGTGTTCAAAAAGCAAAGTTGAGTTCTTATGTAAATGTTATTGTGCCAATTCTCATGAGCCAGGTCTTAAATGAATCTCATGGTTTGAAATAAAATTTTGCTCAGTGTTCATATTAGGTACTTGCATTAATTTTGTTTTGATTCACGATTTGCCAACCAGTCCTTGTGGCTTTCACTATGGGGGTTTTCATAAACTCCTGGCTAACAATTAAAAGCAGGTTGTATTTGAGCAACCCATATTCTAATCAAGTGCCTACCAGTTTCTAATCTAAAAGATGAAATTATGGTTATACCTTAATGTTCTATTCAATAGAACCTGATTTATTACATTGTAATCTCTCTTTTTTGAGTTTGAGTGATTTGCCCCATTTCCTTTATAGATTTTCAGTGATACCTATATGCCAACTCTTTGCATCATGGATCATCATAATCTGTTAAATGCCATGTTTGCCCCTCAGGTTGCAAGTGTAACTCTTTGAAGTCCTTTTTTGGTGTTATTACAGGATTTCATAGAGGATCTGCCGGAGAAAGAGAAAAAGTTATTGACATTGGTTGATATGGGCTTCTCTACGGAGGAGGCAGCTGCAGCCATAGACAGATGTGGTATAGCTTCTCTTACATTTGATGCAGCATGGTGTGATATGTCTACAAAAAAAATTGATGTTGTTGTTGCCTTATTCTGATATTTTATCTTTACCTACTATGCGTGCGGTCTCGTGAAGATTTATGGTGGATGCCTTACTTTCTTTTATTTTCCGGTCATCCGAGACCCTGTTTTGAATATCATTTGTTTTGATAGGCTGAATTATGTTTCTTTTTAATTATTTTCTTTCCAAACTATCATTCTATCGGATATTATGTTTTTTAGAAACAATATTCATTATGTGCTAGAATTTGTAAGTTTCTAATCAAATTTACATTTTACTAGTTTTTGTATTTTTTTCATCTATTGTTTTCCTCTGCTGCATAGGATATTCAGTGTAAGTTGACTGTGTGTGTGTTTTTTTGTTGATGATAATTTGAATCAAAATAAGTGAAGAGTTGGAGCAATGAAGAATAAATATTGCATATGATTTGCAATTTAGGTAGTGTGGTCACCTTTTAAAAAGGAGTTTGAGGCTTGCTCCTTGAGGCTCGCCTCAGGTTGAGGCACAAAAAAAAAAGTTTCAAGGTTTAAGCTTCACCTTCACTAATAAGGCTTACGCTTTTTTCATCTGAGGCATACAACTAGAGGCATTTGAGGTAGCTCCTCGATTAACAACAACAACAACAAAAACAACAAGTTTTTATCCCACTAACTGATGTCAGCTATATGAATCCCTTTTCTCCAACGCGTCTTATTGTGTCATATTTTCATTTAATTCTAATAAATTAAAATCATCTTTTATACAACATGCCCAAGTCTTTTTAGTTCTACCTCTACCTTTCTTAACATGAGTCAAATCTAAAACATCTACTTTCCTAACCGGATCATTTAATCGGATTATCAGTTAGTCAACATTTAATTTGAACAAATCATCTTGTCTGCCACGGGAGCTACACCAATCCTTCCACGGATACATTCATTTCACATTTTGTCTCTAAGTGTCAACCCACTCGTCCACCTAAGCATTCTCATCTCAACAACACTTAATTTACTTTTATGCTTCACTTTTATAGGCTAACATTCTGTGCCATGAAGCATTGCATATTTCACTAGTCATCACCATCTTATAAAATTTTCCTTTAAGTCTAAGCGGTACTTTTTTAATACACAATTGGCCCGATGCATTCCCTCACTTCAACTATTCAACTTGAATTCTACTCATAACAAACTCATCTATATCTCCATCACTTTGAACAATGCCTTAAAAATGTCTAAAGATAATTTAGTAATGATTACATGATTATGTTATTAATTTATTCTTTTTTTTAAATTATATTGAATTTCTAATTAATGGATAGTAAGAAAAAAATTATTATAAATTAAAATCATTTTAAAATTGCCAATGAGACGAACTTAGATGATAGAAAATATGATGATTCTTTTGATGGATGATGAAAGTAAATATGAAGCTACTATTGATCTTGAACCTTAATGAAGTATTTAAAGTTTTGTGAATATTTATCAAGTATTAAATTTCAAATTTCTATTTTATATCAATATTTAATATTAAGATTAGTTATTTATCTTTATGATAATAAACTAAATCAACATATCAATGGTTTTTTTACTATTTATGAATTATTTTTAATTTATTGGTTTTTTTTTCTTTTCTAGAGGCTTATGCCTCAATCCGCCTCGAGGCTTATGGTAGTTAATTCAAAATGTCTCGGTTCTCGATTTGGTCTTTTTATACTTTGGTGTGGTATTAGTAATTATCAATTACTTTTACTAAATACGAGGTAATTCATGAGTGGGATGTGTTTAAATACCTTGGATCCTTTGAATAGAAGAATGTGCATGTATATGAGGATAAATTTTCTTGGAGTTGACACTTGTTAGTTAAGTAGAGAAGTGTTTTGGGAGTATTTTTTGATAACATAAGATGATAGAGATAAATTTTATGAAATTGCCATTAGCAATTTACAAAACCTATTTTTATGGTATTAATTGGTGGGCAATAAAAAGGCACTCATAGTTAAGTTGAGTGTTGCAAAAATAAGGATGTTAAGATGGATTTGTGGAAAAATGAGAAAGAATGGTTAACTAAATTATTATTTTAAAGGATGGTGAATGTAACATCTATTGAAGATAAAATAGTGAAAAATATACTTATTTTTTATGTACATATACAATGAAGGCTAAACGATTTTCTCATAAGATTAATATTAAAAGATTGAGAAGGTAATTGGGTATATAATCAATAATGGATAGAAGTTTTGTAGAGAATAATTGCACGTAATATGTTCAACACTTATTGCAATACTTAACTGGAATTAATTGGGAGTCGGGATTTATAATGTTTATTCTAAATAGTTAGACTAAGGATGATAATGATGATGATGATAATGTTTTATTTTGCTACCAAAAGGTTTTGGTGTAACTGCTAGTACAAATTTTATGGTCTTGACACTGATCTAGGATTTTTAGATGGTGTGTAAGGATTGGGTAGAGGGTTGAAGATTTAGGATGATAAAAAGGGGCACAACCTGAGAAGGCTAAGGATTCGAGTAGGAAAAATTGGTACAAAAGCTGTTTAGTAGAAAATAGTTGGGAGGAGGCAACCTGTGATGATGTAGAGGGACTTCGAGTGTATATGAGGATCCATCATCTATTCCCAATTAATTTATAGGTACACCACTTAAGAAGGAAAAATGATACCTCAATCTAACTAAAAAGAAAATACAGAAACAATCTCCAAGTTGTCATAAAACCAAGCAAAGGTTACAAACCAGGTTCTAAAACAGCATATTTATAATTTCCAAATTAATAACTCTAATTCTAATTGTAATTATGGTAAATATGACCCTTACCAGTCAAGAAACATATAACCAGATGGTCTGTTTTGCTCTTCATGCGTCTGTCTGGGACAGATGTGGGGGCTGCTTTCTTCAAGCCTGCTTCTTGGGAGATGACCATGTCTAGCCTGCTTCATACTTGTTTTCTCTTTAACTATTCAATCTTTTTATCTGTTTTGGCACTCAACTGCAGTAATAAACTCCACAAAGTATGGCAATATAGACCTATTTTTTATTATGTTTTGCTTTGGAAAATTGATGATTACGAAGTGAATGTGGCAATGATTTTCTTTAACGCAAAGAAAATTAGATGATTAAGCCAGAAGTTGAACCTGTTAAGCTAAAACACCTATCTGCAGCATTTAAACACTGAAATGGTTTTGTAAATCCCTCCCAACTATCTCATTATGATATAAATCTAAAAGTGTGTGCTCATTGAATTATATGAAGTGAACATTAAGATGAACTTTTTGAGTTTGCATTGCTTTTTTCCCCCTAATTTATTTTGCTAAAAATATTCAAATGATGATGATCTACTGAGAATGGTTTGTGCTCTTCAAATTATTGATTATCTCTTTAGTTTTATTTTATGGTTGCAAGCTTTTTTGATGTAACCTTGGTCTTGGACTCTTTTTTTTTGTTTCCAATTTCGTGTTAAAATGCATGGTTAGTTCCTATTTTTGATTGGTCATTGATTGTGAAAATTGTTGCAAGCTGTTTTGATGTAACCTTGGTCTTGGACTCTTTTCCAATTTCGTGTTAAAATGCATGGTCAGTTCCTATTTTTGATTGGTCATTGATTGTGAAAATCACTATTATGGACATTGATTTGATGGTATCCAGTATTTTCTACTGTAGATTATTGTTGTTAAATCCTGGTCATATGAAGAAATTACTAGCTCCCTTTCTGATTTTTACCCGTCACCATATCAATCTTCAATTTCTTACCCTCTATGGATTTTTTGCCGTCCCCTGACTATATTGTGCTTGACAACTGTTTCCGTGTTTGTTTACTTGTCTTTCTGTGATTCTTCCTTTTCATACCATTATGTTTTGTTCATCTCCATTTGGCGGTGAGATTTCATTTGTTCTGGAATTTAAAATTACAAATTTTACTGTTCGGGTAAAAATCTGTGATTGGAGATTTGTTGATTTTGTCGGAATGTAACTTTTTTTTTTTGAGTTGAAACTAGGTGTATTATGCTAGATAGATCTATTAGAATTTTGACGAATTACTATTGGTTTTTCTTAGTTATAAATAGAATCTCTGAAGCATGCACGAAAAAAAAAAGTTGAAATATTGAGTAGTGAAATGAATTCTCTGGATTCTTGTGTCTGCTATTGGGTGTGTTGATTGTTTTACAAATTTTAGCTTCAAATTTAGGGTGGTGATTATTCTTCTTATATCGATGTGTGGTTTGAATATTCAGTGACTTCTTTCCTTTGTTCTCATTTTAAGTTGGTATTTGGTGGTCTGTGTGCATTTTTTAAATTTTGGCGTTAACGGTCTAAATTATATTTGATGGATAGTTTTGTATTAAATTTAGAATTTTTTAGTATTTTAAGTTTTTGTGATTTTACGTTATGATTTGGAGCAAATAAAATTTGTTGTTTGATATTACACCACAATATTAGTCTTTGCGTAAAATTGAAAGTTGAGAATCCATGTATTGTGGACCTATGGCTTTTTTTAAAGCCAAAATGATACGAGTACAAGAAATATAATTACTAGGGATTGCCAGAGTTCTAAGAAAGCACTTAAGGTTAATTACATATAACATGGGTGTAGGGATAAACCATCCAGCATAATAGGAAAACATATGAGAAGAATGAGCTCATTTTAAATGCCTTGAATGGAGCTTGGGCAAAGTAAATTTTTTTCTTTAATAATCCAAACAACTCAACTTGAATACAAAGATAAACATTATCGATTTGAGAGGTAGACGATCTCTTCCAATTCCTACAATTCGAGAGATAGAAGAAGATAAACATTATCGATTTGAGAGGTAGGCGATCTCTTCCAATTCCTACAATTCGAGAGATAGAAAATTTCTCCCAAATCCTAAACCTAAGACTCATCACAATAATCTCATGCATCCCCGTAACCCTAAGCCTATTAGGGTCTATTTATAGCAAAAAATAATAAATAATAAAAGACTTAATTGCTCTTAGCCGCATAAAAGAAAAATTTCCCTTAGGCTAGGCATTGATGTAATAATGTTCTGATATCAATTTGATGTTATCCGGTGTAGAAATCATCATGA